AGTGTCGAAAGTCCCCAGCCACACTCGAATCCCCCGCGAGAAATCGCGAATCTCCGCCGCCCATTTCCCCCACGGCCTCTGCCTCACGCCCCGGTACTTTGGCCGCGGGCCATCGTCCCTCTCCACGATCTTCCGCTTCTTGCTGCTGCTACTCCTCACGGATTTCTTCGCGATCTTCGCTGGCGCTGGCGCCGGCTTCGCGAAATATCCCTGCTCCTCGGTGTCCGTGGTGGCATCCGGCTCGATCTTGGGCACCGGCCGCACGAAATATCGCGTCTTCTCCTCGAGATCGGCCATGGCGTGCGCTCGAAAGACGCTAATGTAGCTGGGAACCACGGCCAGATCCCTCTCCTCCTCGCTATCCGAGGAGATCATCGTCGTCGTCGCGGCGACAAGATCGCCGTCTACCCGTGCTCTGCCACATCCAGGCATCGCCTTCTTTCCCTGTTCTTGGTGATCCTCCTCGCCCGACGAGGAGTCTGTGGCATCGGGATCGCAGCACACAACGCGAACTCGCCTCGGGCACACGTTCTTGATCGATTCACGCTCCGGCTGCTTCATCTTGGGACCCGGCATGGGAAGATCTTCCAGAAATCTGCGCTACGACATGCAAATAAATCTCCCTCCAGTGGTGGATCGATCAATGCAGGGCCAGGGAAGCAAGAAGGCCATGCATCGCTCTCGAAATCTCGCGAAGAATCAAGGCAAAGAAAGCAAAAGAAAGGAGTGAAGAACACGCAATCCTAGATCCGGCCTCGCGGTAAGATCACCTTCTTCGCTAACGATTGATCTCGCTACGATCTAATGCGGCCTTCTCACTCTCGCGATCGATCGTCGCCTCGATCGCGCCTTCTCTCCCTCTCTTTCTTCCTTCCAATCACGAGGCCCCGGAATTTCCCTCGCGTGTGTATATACTGAGACATCACAATGTTAAAGATGGCTGGCGGGCGCCAGCGGTCCGATCCGCCGCATCCAACGGCGGAACCCCTGACACGTGTCGCCCGTTTCGAGCTGTCTTGTCGATCAGGCGCACCCAAATTTGATGTGGCGGTGTACAGCGGGGTCGGTCCCGCTAAATCCACCGGTCCAGCTACTGCCACGTGTAACACACCGCTAGCGCGCCTGCCACGTCGGCGTGTCTTTCGGGCCTAAAGCTTGGGAAATTTGGGCGGTTTTAATTTACCGCGGAAATGCGGCGCATTGGAATCTCTGCCTGGCGTCCGTGACCTAAAAAAACGATGTTGCTGGTTTGCTAGTGGGTGGCGGTGGAGTAATCGATTGAAAAAAATTCTTTAGTGATTTGGTGGCTTCCAAAGCACTAGGGTTTGCTTGAGCGGCAAGTCTGAAATTTGGACTGGATATATGCGCTGGTCGGATCAATCAATCAGTCGTAGACAAGGTCAATATGTACTAGATCAAGAGTACTTAGACTACCTAAAGTCTCCATTCTTTGCGTTTGACGATGGTCCGTGCGCATCTCGTTGGAATAATCCTCCCAAACCACAAAGGATCTCCCAAGAACGACAATGCTGCTGTGTGGAAACAAAAGAACTCTCACCAAGAAAGGGTATCGGGTTCGATCCCGTCCAAGATAGGGTATCTAGCGGCCGCTGGATTCTCTCTTTTGTCGCCGAGTGGGAAGGACCCAATGACAAAATGCCATGCCTGGGCATGACTCATCATGACCATGCATGGCCGAAATAAGACAGGGCCCGGACAAAGATAAAAACGACTTGGCCGGCGGTATCGTGGTGCCACGTGTCAAGCGGCAAAATCTGGGCAGCCAATCGCGAGCCGCCGCCCGGTTTCTTTGCCGGCCGGTGGGGAGTGGGACCCAATCGCGCGCCGCCGCGTAGTAATGCAAAGTTTAGGGCAAAACATCCAAATTTTAGGGAAAGGAGTTGCGTATACGTCTCTAATTCAATGAAGGAGCTAGTGGGCCGCAACGTGTTAATGGATTCGCCGATTTTTATATGGACCCATTCTAGCTACGCTAAAAGGCGCACAAAAGAAAGAAATCGCTCGATTCGTGTACGTGTGTGGTGTGATCTCCCGAGCAGTGCAAGAAAAAAGGGAGATTTTTTCTCGCTGCATTGCCTAGAAGAAGCCAGCACTGGAATTGTGACAGAATTGACTAGGAAAAAAAAGAGCCAACCAAGTCAAAACTGGGAGTTCTAAGCTTGTGTCCTGATCTTTGCAGACAAGCACGAAGAACTTGTGATGTCCCACGGCAATCTGTGATTCTGTTCACGGGGAGAAAAGAAGAAAAAGGAGATGGTCTTAACTTGAAACACCTTGTCAGCAGGCGGCTCCCCACGAGGCGTCGCTCCCGACCCGAGGAAGACTTCGCGGTTGATCTTTGCGTGACTCGTCCACTTTGAAAGTGGAGCCACACATCTGTCCCTGGCTGTCCACTCGTGGCACCGGTTTCAGAGCGTTTAAAGGGTGCTCGAAGCTTCGCAAGCCACCTCCAGTTGTGAAGAAACATCCTAGAAGAGAGAGAAAAAGAGAAATATTCGATCGGATTCACAAAAACTTTCGAAGAACTTACCAGCCGGGAATGGAGCAAACGATTTGCCGCAACCATTCCTCAAGAGATCTGCATTATCCGAGAATGCAAGTGATTCGTCGGCAGCAATGCCCCAGAAAAATGGAACCTTGCCCTTGTCATCCTGAGTGTAGCTTCAACGTTAGCAAATAAACGCGCCCAGGACAGGGAGGAGTTCTTACGTTTGCCACAAGCAGCGTTTTGGTCGCATTGTCGAAGAGAACGAATGCAAACTGGCCAGAGAGATCCTTGACAACTTGATGCGCAGGATATGGAGCCCGATCTCGCAGGGCCTTGTACATTTCAATCACCAGCGTCACCTCACACACATTCTTCGTGAGGCCGTAGAGCTGCCTGAGCGCTGGAAGATTTTCCAGAACACCGACGAAGATGCAAAAGATATCATCCAGAACTGCGAAAGCTCTGCCAAGAACAAGGACCACAACGTGAAAAAAAAAGTTTCCAAAGTTCCATTCCTACCGTGGCTTGAGAAGAGCTTGCTTTTCGTGAGAATAAGCCATTGCGCTAAGCCCATCCAGCTGCACCGATGCCGCCTGTGGGATCGCCGAGGTGAATGACTGCAAAATCTGGGCGCCGCTCTTCCGGCGATCATCATCCACGCTTCCCGGGGCCGAGAGCTCCACTGGTCCCGCCGCGACCGATTTGTGAAAGACGCCCAGCATTCTTGCGAAGAATCCCCGAAACCTAGCGCAAGAAACACGAAATCTCTGAGCCGATGCGCGATCGCGCTAACATTCCGAGCAAGAATGGCAGGAAACTCACCTGGATCGAAAAGTAGGTAAAGCGATCAATCGAGCTACCTTGCAATGAGCTAGGGCTGGAGCGGCGCTATATACTAGTTCTTGGCCCCCTGGAAGGAGCTTACAAAATCGTGCCAGGCGGTGACGTGGAGGGCGTGGATTTAATCCAAATTCAAACCTATCCGCCCGCCGCGTCACCGCCAAGTCATCACCACGTCAGCACTTACCGTGGGTGACACGTCGTGCACAGTTTTGAAATGCAAAGAAAACGGAGAGCCCTAGAAGCACTTTAATCTAGAAAGAACTCTACGCAGCAATCGATAAAGGAAGAAGCGCAGGGCTCGATCGACGCCACTGCCCTCTTCATCCACTCCTGGTCCTCGATCGCCCCCTTGGACGCTTGATCCAGATCACACTGCGGCCAGTAGCAATCTCCTGCCGCTCCTTGCGCCTCGCCGAGAAATGGCGACAGCGGCTCTTGGATCGCGATCCCGAGCCCCTCGCCCAGATCGCTGCTCTGCTTGCTCTGATCACTGGAGGAGTCGGAGTCGTCGTTGCGCAAGATCGCCCAGTTGGGATCCTGCTGATCATCGTCCTCCTTCGGGGATGCGAGAAGGAGATGGAGATCCTCGCAATGGAGCTCCAGAGAGGAGGAGCACCGCCGCTTGATCGGAGGAGGAGGCCCACCCAACGATCGCCCGGAGATGTCATCTTCTAAGAACTGATCGTTGCTCTCACCTTGGAGGAGGAGGAGATGATCCAGGCATCGTTTCTTGCTCGCTTTCTCCATCGCCAGAAAAGAAACTCGCTCTCTTTCTGGGCTGGGAGAAGAAGCTCTTTCTTTCTCGTGCTTGGAACCGCGCGCTGGAATCGATCGATCTGAAAGCGCCACAGCCCAGGACGAATCTAGCGGGAATATGCGTGCCACGCCCGCTCCCTTCTCAACACGTCATTCAAGAATCCGCTCTACACAGATATTTTCTGTGCAAGAACGGAAAATCCGGTTACCCACCACCGCCCGTCGCGCGACGGGCGAGATGAAGGGCGGTGACGGGCGTTGACCGCCGTGCCCTAAAATTAATGTCAAACTAAATGCGTTGCCGCTTTTAAAGGAAAAGTTTGGGAGCCATGATCTTTGCTTCACCGCCACCAGTGCAAAGCTTGTGGGAAAGGTGGCGGACTTTCTAGGGTTCCGCAAGGGTGTCCGTGCCCTGGTCCAAACTCGTTAGCTGTTTGTTGGCTGTGATGCAATGCAAATGCGTTGGATGTGACGCTGCCAACTTCTCTTCTCATGCGATGGATGGAAACGGATCTACATTTGCAAGGGACAGCGACTTCTGCAAAATAGACCAAAACAAGTCTTAAGAAATGCGCGGTTTGTTTGTATGCAGCGGCAGCATATTTTCGGATGAACCTGGGCGTGCGATGACTAAATTGTCGCACGAGACTGTAGAGTGGACTCGAGATTTCCGAGACGTGGGGCGAGGGCGACAACTTGAGAAGCTGCCCAGTGGGTGAGTTTTAGGGTAATTCATGTCACCCTCTCTCTCTCGCGGTCTCGAATGTGAATATGCCACGAGAATACGTTGAAAGTGTGGCGGAAAATTTGGCCCGCACAAGTTAACCATTGGTTAACACGTTAACTACGCGGAGATAGTAATACCTATAAATGTGAGAGCAGAGCATTCTTCTCTCCCGTTTCTCCACCATAGCTTTGTTTCATCCTTGGTTTGGTCTCTGGGAGAGGGAGGGTGAGAGGGAGAGGGAGAGAGGGAGAGTTATTTGTTTGATCTTCCATTCGACGATGATTCTTCCATCGATTTGAGAGCTTTTTCTCTCCTCTTTTTCTGCTCTCGCTCGTGATCCCTTTCACGAGAGCTCTTCTTTCTCCTCTCGCCGGCTATGGAAGACACCGACATGGAATCAAGCCACAGCCCGCCGCCACGAATCTCCTCGTCGAAGAAGCTCGGCCGGATGGATTCGCTGGAGCGTGATGCGGGGAAGGTCACGGGCATGGAGAACCATGGACGGAAGGTAGCTTTTTCTTTCTCCTCCCCCAATCGATTGAAACGATCGAAACGTCGACCCCTCGAGTTCTCCTCTTCTTTTCTTGATCTCGATCTTTTGAAATGACCAAGGAATGTGGTTTCCAGATCTTGACGAGGGCGGTGATCCTCCGCCTGGCATTCCAAACGATCGGTGTGGTGTATGGCGACATTGGAACCTCGCCGCTCTACGTGTTTAGCAGCACTTTCCCTGGCGGTATCTCGCGGGATCACTTGAAAACCAACGTTCTTGGCGTGCTCTCGCTCATCATCTACACTCTCACCCTGAGCCCCCTCATCAAATACGTGTTCGTTGTTCTTCGAGCCAATGATAACGGCGAAGGTAGCTTTGCTATTGCGTTTTTGTTTGGATCTTCTCAAAGTTCCTGTGCTTTTTGTTGTGGAGATCAGGTGGTGCGTTTGCGCTCTACTCGTTGATTTGTCGAAATGCCAACGTCGATTTGATGGGCAAGAGACACCCCGAGGACAAAAACTTGTCGGCGTACAAGCTCGACTTGCCGAACCAGCGAAAGATTCGACGAGGGATCTGGATCAAGAATTTTCTAGAGGGACACAAGGCCGTCCACGTCGTGCTTCTGATGATCACCTTCTTTGGAACTTGTATGGTTATCGGCGATGGAACTCTCACCCCCTCCATCTCTGGTAAGAAGAAATTCACAGCTTTTTCATCGATCACTTGGAAAATTCTGGTTTTATTTTTATCTTTCCAGTGCTCTCTGCTGTGCAAGGAATCCAAGTCCAAGTTCCAAACCTCAGCCAAAGTAAGAATTCATCTTCTCTTTTCTCTTTAAATTTGTTGTTTGTTTCTTATGTTTCTAGTGCTCTAACTTGTTATTCGTTGCCTACGTTTCTAGTGTTCTAACGAGAAACCATGGTTGACTATCAGGTGTGATTGTCGTGGTTTCCATCGTCATTCTCATCTGCCTGTTTAGCGTCCAGCGGTTTGGCACGGACAAGGTCGGCTTCATGTTTGCTCCAGTACTCACGATCTGGTTTGCCATGATCGCTATGATCGGCCTCTACAACTTAATTCACCACGATCATGGAGTTCTCGCCGCCTTCAATCCCAAGTACATCTTCGACTACTTCAAGACCAACAAGCGGGAAGGATTCATCTCGCTGGGAGGAGTTGTTCTTTGCATCACAGGTTTGTGAGACCTCTTCCTTCTTTTTCTTTGGTTTTTGCCTTCTAAAATCGTGACACTGCTGCTCCACACCAGGAACTGAGGCCATGTTTGCGGACTTGGGCCATTTTACGGTTCCTTCGATCCAAATCGCCTTCACAACCTACGTTTATCCTTCACTTCTCCTTGCTTACATTGGCCAAGCTGCCTATCTCATGGAGCATCCAGAGGACGTTGGAAGAGCTTTCTACAAATCAGTTCCAAGTAAGTTTATTCTGTCGAATCTCTAGAGCTTGACACCACTTTATCCTATTTGTTCCAGAGCCTTTGTACTGGCCAATGTTTGTAGTAGCAGTGCTTGCAGCGATCATCGCGAGCCAGGCAATGATCTCGGCGGTGTTTCAGATCATCAAGCAGGCCGAGGCATTGGGATGCTTCCCACGGATCAAGGTCGTTCACACCTCGAAAAACTTCGTGGGTCAAGTTTATATCCCGGAGATGAATTGGTTCCTGATGTGTGCTTGTGTACTTATCACTGCGGCCTTCAGAGACACTACAACAATTGGAAACGCATATGGTTAGTTCTTTCTTTCTTTCTTCCACCACCGTTTAAATCTCTATTGTCTCTCTTTGTTTTCTTTCAGGAATATGTGTGGTTATGGACATGGCTGTTACCACCACTTTTACAACGATTATCATGGTTTTGATATGGAAGACACAATTGTTTCTAGCTCTACTCTATCTCCTCGTCTACTGGAGTGTGGAATTCACGTATTTCTCTGCTGTGGTCTACAAGTTTAAAGATGGAGGATGGCTTCCACTCCTCTTCGCAGTGCTCTTCCTCACGGTCATGGTCATTTGGTTCAGTGGAAACTCCAAGCGCTACAAATACGAGCTAGACAACAAGATCTCCATGGACTGGATCACCGGGCTGGGGTCAAACCTGGGAGTCTCCCGAGTTCGTGGAGTTGGATTGGTCTACACGGAGCTTGCACAAGGAATCCCTTCCATCTTCTCGCACTACATTACGAATCTCCCGGCAATGCACTCAGTGATCATGTTCGTGACGATCAAAAACTTGCCTGTGAGCAACGTTTTGTCGGAGGAGAGGTTCTTGTTTAGAAGGGTCGGGTCCAAGGAGTTTCGGATGTATCGCTGCATTGCAAGGTATGGCTACAAGGATTGTCACAGGGGCGACACCCAGTTTGAGGAGGATCTCTTCAAGAGCTTGGCCGAGTTTATAAGCATTGAGGACGATGGGAAGCAAATGGAGGCCAGGGATTTGGGCGAGGCCGACACGGACAGCTGCAGTGTGGCGATCTATCCGGTTTCTCTCCAGTTATCGCCACCGCAAGCTCCAGAGGAGAGCGCGATCGCTATACCAGGCAGGGGAGTGGTGGAGGAGCTAGGATTTCTCGAGGAGTCCCGGAAAGCTGGGGTCGTATACTTGTTGGGCGACAACGATGTGAGAGCTCGCGAGGACTCGAGCTTTATCAACAAGTTTGTGGTGGACTACGGTTATGCCTTCCTCCGGAAAAACTTTAGGGAGAGCACTCTCATCCTCAACATTCCACATACGAGGCTCCTCAAGGTTGGCATGGTCTACTTTATATAAGGAAACAAACAAAAGATATGAAGATCCCCATGAAAAAGAACAAGGAGTGATCTTTTCCAAAAAATAAGGAACGTGACACAACGTGTATAAAATCAAGCACCTATTACTTGGCCACCTTTCTTGTGGTCCTCTGGAGAGGAAGTCTTCTTTGGTGTGCTAGCTTCCGTGCACGGATATTGCAAATCAGTATATATGCCTGGGGATATGTGGAAATATTTGCGCTGACTAATTGGGTATATATTCTGGCAAACGACAAAAGTGTGACAGTTGAAAGTATTCAATTAACCTTTTATAAGTAGATTAGCCCAGCAAATTCTGGGCACGGGCTAAGAGCTTGGAAGTCAATGAAAGTCAATGAAAGTCAATGTATGTAATTAGCAAAACCATTTGCAATGTTGAAGAGCAAACCTTATTGTTAAAGTCATGACTTGCTAGTTTTTTTAATTGGGAGGAGCAGGGAAAAGCATAGCTCATGTCTCCTGGCCACTCTGCTATTGTTACTTGAAGTGTATATAATATCTTTACAATCATAAATTGCTCAGTTTCATTAGTATGGTGATTCCATTGTGTAACTATCAACAATGGTGAATACATGTTTTAAATACTTTGCCTAATTAGAAGCATATAAAGACTTTCAGATTGTCCATAAACATTAATTTAAAAATTTATAACAATAGTAAATTTTTTTTCCTTTTAAGACTGTAGGGTTAGTATGTATAAGGCACATAATATGCTCACATATTAAATTAATGATTTACTCTTTCAAATCTCTGAGTTACTCTTTTTCTTTTAAGATGGAATATTTTTAAAAAGTTACATTTTAATATAATTCTGTCCATATTAAGAACAATATTCTACTATATGTTGCAAGTGAAATGATTCTAAATTTTAAATCAAATTTTTATTTTTATTTGTAAGAAATATGTAATTATTTTACACTATATTATTTAATATCACTGATTTGTTTTACTACATTATATTTCACCATTTATACTTTAAGCACTTTCTTTTCTTAGCTTTATATTTTTAATATTAAATATTTATTAAATAAAATTTTATATATAAAAATAAAATATTTATGATAAGTTTTGAATTTTTAAATTCTTAATTCTATTTATTCTTTACTTTCTTCTATACCACTATATCTATTGGTTTTATTTTATATATTTTTCATAAGTAAAATAAAAGGAACATTAATAGGATGCACTAGTGGATTTGTAGATAATACACCTTATTTATGATCTCTTTGTATGAAATGTTAAATTGTTACATATATATAATTTTTGAAAGATTGGCTAGAATGTTGTGCCAAACCTCATAAATTTGAAATCCAACTTACTATAACACTTAATACAATTCAATCCATTAAAGAAGGAGCCCTTTAGATAAATCATGTACCATAAAATCAAGGAAATGAACCAATACTAGATTATCCACTATGGACTATGCAAATGGATGATGATGAGAGTTCTAGCTCTATTTTTTTTCCCACTTATATATGACTTAAATATTTAACAGACTTAACTCGAGCCAATGAAAGAATGCTTATTACATATTGATCTTAGAATTTAGCATTAGTAACGCATAGCAATCACAAAAGTAAACTTGATCTCATTTAATATAGAATTATGACCATATAAAAGTCTATATGGTGAAGCACAAATGAAACTCTATACTTTTCTGACATATATATATATATATATATATATATATATATATATATATATATATATATATATATATATATATATATATATATATATATATATTGAAGATATAGCAATTTGATTGTTGAAAGTTCACATACTTTATAATTATTCCCTTGAAATCCAAATGAGTTATTCCACCAAACTATCCATTTACAAATAATAAACACATGTTAAAGATTGATATATTCCCAATTGAGATATCAACTTGTAAAATACCTCAACCTCAAATATGGGATTATTATTTGAGAGAATTAACTCTAGACAAGAATGCTAGAGCACCACCTGACTAAGGCACCCTTTACTCTATAATAATTTGTTATGGGATAACCATAGAGTGGAATGTAAACCTTTGGACATGTGGACCAAGAGCAGTGGAGTAAAATTCAAATTTAGGGCATTGGACTACACAAAGGGACAGAGTAAAACTTCTAAATATATATAGTCAAAGAGTGTAGAAAACTAGAGCACAGAATAACTCTTGAGTGTATAGTTTAAGGAGTGAAGACAAAAACAACCACAAGTTAAACTATACCTTAGAATGGTTAACCATGCATAACTTACTATCCCTGCCATCCTACCATATAATTGGAAACCTGCCCCCACTCCCAACCCCCCCTCCCAAACTAGAGGAATGCATGCTTTAAGCTTTCACACCAGTCCTAATAATTAGTCTTGAGGACAATCAAAAAAACTTATTAAATATGGAATGGTGTTAAATTGTGAATCTGGAAGTAGAAATAACACCATTATGAATAAGACAGTTTCTACATTTTATAAATATGCCAAACTAGCAAATCTAAACACTTTTTATAAATAGCCAATAGAACCAAACGAAATCACGAGCTTAACATCAAATGTAACTATAGATATACTAAATAATATTAAGTCACATCTCCAGCCAATAAAAAGACCTACACACCTTCTTAATCAATGATAATGAAGAAAGCATGAAATAAAGATTATAAGTATTATTTTTAGGATCAATCCCCATAAAGTAAAGAAGGTTATCCTTAAAGTAATAGTAAGAATGTAAATGCCAAAACGACAAGTCATTAATAAATGATGCAAAATTCTCAAATGCATCATAAAACTTTCAAATCCAAAATTTAACCTTTTAAACCTTATAAAGTTTATCAAATGTAGATAAATCTAATTTTACACATTGTAGATATTGAATATCAAACACAATAACTGTTGATGGCACTATATCCTTATCCAACAAATCCACTAATACTAGAATAATAAACTTGTCAAGAATATGTAAAAAGAGTTCAATATCACCTATAGAATTTATTGGGTAATTAATAATTTCAAAGTTATATATTTGAAGCTTTAAAAGTTTTTCTACTTCTGTAATAAAGTGACTAAAACATAATTGCCCTAACAATGTTCAAAACTATATAAGTACACATGAGTTTCTTAAAATCTTAAATTGCTACTAGACACTCATTTATCATGGAATAATTCATCTTTGTTGGTTGTAATGTATAGCTGATATATATAATGGGATGATATTAATAATACACACTTGTGTTCTTTTACTTTCACACATCTTCAAAACCAATATTAAAAGTATCTATACACAAGATGAAAGGTCAAATGTAGTTAAAATACACTAAAGCTAGAGGAGTCATTAACACTTCTTTCATATCTTTAATGCCTATTTGCAATCTTTAGATCAAATAAAAAACAATGTTATAGTGTGCCAAAGAAGTGTTCCACATTATTCATACACTTTGGAATAAGAAACTTCAAAATAACTATAAGTTTGTCAGGATTAATTTATAAACTTTCATAAAAAATATAATACTTAAGATAAATTATGTTTTTGGACACAAACACACACTTTGACCACTTGAACTTCAAACTAACTTTCTGTAGCTAATCAAACACTTTGCAAATTTCATGGATGTGCTCCTCTCATGTCCCTTCAAGTGAATCAAGATATTATTTATAAAGTCAACAATTACTTTTGGCATATTATAAAGAATATATTTCATCATCAACTAGAAAGTCATCGGAGCATTATTTAAACCAAACAACATCACCAAAAACTTATATAAACCAAATGGTTTACAAAAAATAGTCTTGCAATATATCCTTGTTCTTCTCTTTTTCTACTTGAACTTTTAGTTAATCTTGGGAGTCAAAAATACTTAAAACACAATCTTATACATGTTATAAGTTGGGATTCAAGTGAAACTCTTTTCTTAAATTGCTTTTTATTTTTAGCTTTTGTTATTTTTTCTTTTATCCATTATCCTTGGTATTTTCAAGCTCCACACTTTTTTCTTTATATTTTCCTTTTTCATTGACTCTCTACCATCTCATTTTTCATCCTTTATCTTCCATCTATAAGCAGAATTTAGCTATTCTTTTCCAACTTGTAGGCCATGGCTTCTCGTCTTGTCAAAGCCTTCCTCTGGTTGTGTAAGTGGGGGATATACTTAGAGATTATTCTGTGTGTTTACAGCAGATTCATTATTGAGACTAATGATATAACACATTTTCTTAATGTTTTAAATGAGATCTTGAATGTGTGGTGAGTTTTCCCTTGCAACACCTCCACCTAATGACCTTATAAATATGTAATAATAATATACAGTAACTTTAAGAAGATGAAAACAAGTATATTCTATTTATTAAACTTTTTCTGTGAGAGGTTTTAGTAGTAAGGAATGATCCAAAAGTAAAGTGAAGAACAATTAGTTAAAGAAGTAAGAAGAAAATACTCCAAGAAAACATTAGAAATATTATGAGCAAAAAGTGGCATTACTCTTCCTAGTAGTTTCTTTACTTATTTCTTAAAGAACTCATCAATCTTTGGATATATCCGTTTAGAGAAGTAGTTTTGGTACAAGGAATAGGATATCTAAGTATATTCTAGCAATCTAACAGTTGTGATCTAAACTTTCTTTAATTTGTTTATACAATTCCCAAGAATTCCTCCACTCAGAGTGATTGCAATCAAAGCCCTCAAGGAGCACCTCAAGTTGCAAAACAATAGGAATCAAACTGCCAAAAACAAAAGCCTTGTGCATCCTCCCACAACGAATAGAAGAGATCTTTATCCCAACAAGTTCCTCATGTTCTGTTCTCTAGATCATACTAGCAGGAAGCAAAGCCCAATTTGTATGGGAGAAAAAAGCTTCTAAGATAATCAGTAAGCAGGATAAGAAAGGATGGAGTATGCTCCTAACACGGATTTCCCTAGTAGCGGCGAGCGAAACAGAAAGAGCCCAGCTTGGAAATCGGGGTGTCTCTACACCCCGAATTGTAGTCTGGAGAAGGGTCCTCTGCAGCGGATCGGGTTTAAGTCCCTTGGAACGGGACGCCAGAGAGGGTGAGAGCCCTGTCTAGCCCGGACCCTACTGCATCACGAGGCTCTTTCGGCGAGTCGGGCTGTTTGGGAATGCAGCCTTAAGTGGGTGGTAAATTCCATCCAAGGCTAAATACTGGTGAGAAACCAATAGCGCACAAGTACCGCGAGGGAAAGATGAAAAGGACTTTGAAAAGAGAGTTAAAAAGTGCTTGAAATTGCTGGGAGGGAATGAAGAGAAAAGCCTACCAAGTGAGTGATTAAAGTTAT